TGCCTTGATCCTAGCACTCTGGGAGGCCGAGGCAGGAGGATTGCTTGAGCTCAGGAGTTTGAGACAAGCAATTAGCTGGGTGTGTTGGCGTGTGTATGTGAGTGTGTAGTCCCAGCTACTTGGGGTGGGGGAGTGGAGGGAGTGGGCTGAGGGGGGAGGATTACTTGAGCCCAGGAGTTTGAAGTTGCTCTGAGCTAGGCTGATGCCATGGCAGTCTAGCATGGGCAACAGAGTGAGACTCTGTCTTATAAAAAAAAAAGACAAAAACCAAACAGACATAGTAGATGCCAGTAGAAAATAAGGCTTTACATTTGTATAATGTGTTTCCCCTACCACGGTAGTACGGTAATAAGGTGGGTTGTAGTGACTGCAGAACAGTGTTTCCTTTCCCCTTTCCTTTGATTTTATTTTTTTCCTTACAAAGTATTTCTCCCAGCTTTAACACATTTTATTTTTCTATATTTACCTTAGATCTTTTGTTCTTTTTTCAAGGAGTAAACCATCAAAGATGATTGAAACCCTCTTATTATACTCTTCTTCTTTGATCACCTTTCCTTTTGTCAAACCACTACTGGCCTGAAATGTGCATCATTCTTGTTCATGTTTGATGTATGTTATGTAAGAATAAGTTTATAGTGTATTTTGCATGTTTTAAAATGCTACATACATGTATCCCTTACACAGAATATTATTTGTCTCACGTCACCCTCACCTAAAGTTTTTTATGCCCCCAAACTCCCACGTAATTCCCTCAGGGTGTCTCGTGTTCATGAACTAATAAACTGTTTTCTTCTATATGTAGTAGCTTAGACCCACTGTAATGTTTTCTGTTGCCAATGCTAGAATTGAAATTATGACACCAGTACCTGGCAAAGATTCTGCCACTAAAGCTGAAGTGTATCGACAGTTCAACCATTGCTGTCACTGCCTGGTGTTAACAGAATGTCTATTGAGTACACTTCTGGCACAGATGTAGTGTAATACCGCACTAGACATCTCAGCTCTTAGTCCTGAGTCTCGTGGTGGTTTGTTCTAGGATTTAGATATGAAGGCTGGCCAGAGGACAATTGGCCTGACAAATGTTGCCCTAAAAGCCACCTGCTATGTGTAACTATGTATATGTACATATGCACACATAATTTTAGAAGTAAATTGAGTCTAATGGAAGAGAAATGAGCAGAAGTACATAAATTTGAGATCTCCAGGCTATTTTGCACATCCTTGGTGTGTGTGTTTATGTATGTGCTGCAGGCTGTGCATGTTGGCATGGAGGTGTTTTTTCTTGCATGTTTTGAAAATGGAGAAATGACAAAAATCTGCAATTTGTATTTTTGAATATTCATAGTTTGGAGCACAGGTCTTGCATTACCACATGGCAACAATTTTCTGGAGCCTAGTAGCAGTTTTACTTATTCATTACCTGCATGATCCTTGTATTCATCTGAATTCTTTTTTTTGAGACAGAGTCTTGCTCTATCACCCAGGCTAGAGTACAGTGGTACAATCATAACCCACTGTAGCCTCAAACTCCTGTGTTAAGCAATCCTCCTGCCTCAGCCTCCCTAGTAGCTGGGACTACAGGTGTGCACCACCATGCCTAGCTAATTAAAAATTTTTTTGTAGAGATAGAGTCTCACTGTGTTGCCCAAGCTGGTCTTGAACTCCTGGCTTCAAACCTAAAACGTTAGGATTACAGGCATGAGCCACCACTCCTGGCACATTTGAATTTTGACCCCTGATATTCATCCACATATTAATAAATAGTACTTTCCCTGTGCTGGATACAGTGGTAAGATTATACCAGATTGGAATATTGGGATGTAGGGGAATCCTATTGTCATGAGGCAAAAAATACTTAGACACTTGTACCTAGTCAACAGGTAATTGGGCCCAGAATGTCCAAAACATGGTAAATTGTGATAGGTATAAAGTTTGAAGAGCGATAAAGACTGCTTTTACAGAGTACCTATTGTGTGTCAGGTACTTTATATATACTGTCTCATTCTCAGAAAAACCTTTCAAACTTCACACAGATTGAGAAGAACTTGGAGAAAATTGACCTGTCCAGCCTTGGCTTGGAGTAGCTAAGTGTTGGTCCCAAGCCTGGGCCATGCTGCCTTTGACAAAAAAAAAGGGGGAGAGAAATACCGTGGTAAAGTTGACTTAATGGTGTTCAGCTGAATAGCAGTGGGAGTTTACTTTGGTCTCAGTCACTCTAAGTACTGAGAATATGAAGACAATGTTTCTGGTTTTGAATAAGGAATAATGTACCTAAAGCTTATTATAGGAGGTCTGTCTGGAAAGTATCCAGCCATTGTTAATATAAGGAGACATCGATGTAACCTGCCAGCCGAGGAGAGTGGACTGGGACGTGCATGTGTGGACGATGACAATGTCACTGTACTAGTCAGTAGGGTGCTAGACACCGTTGAGTGAGCACGTGTACTGTGTGGCCGTCACATTCCAAATGACCGAGTGAGTAGAGCGATGAGTCTGCATCAAATTTTGTGTTAACCTTGCACATTTCCCCATGGAAACTGTTCGATGATTGAGAAGGCTTTCGGGGACGATGCAATGAGTGCAGTGAAAATGAAACTGTGGCACAAATACTTCAAAGATGGTCGGGAATCTGTTGAAAGTGGTCCATGTTCTGGAAGGCCTGCGACAAGCAGAACACCTGAGAATGTTGAATGTGTTCAGGTTAAGAGACAACTATATGAGGTCCCAAGGTGTCTACTTTGAATGAGACTGATGCATCATTGTCCTATGTACAATGTTTCCTGTATCTTTTTCAATAAATGTCTCTATTTTGCATATTACCTGGCTGGATACTTTCCTGACAGACTTCGTGTAGTGCACTAAACTAGTGGCTTAGAAGTTGGGGTGTGGCTGCAGTATGGCTTTAGAATTTAAAGTGTTTTGAAGTTCAGTCTCTCTTTACATAAAAGACTAAGTTTTATAACTTTTTGACGTAACTTATTGACCTAGATCACTAGTTTTATCAATGGTATTTAGCATTATAGTTGCAAATATTATGCATGAGTGAGTACCTAGGGAAGGAAGCATATCAAAGTGGTATGAGTCTGAAGGCAGGATGAAACTGTAGGTTATCATTCTGGCTCCATCATTTTACTAGTTGTGACCTTGTGCAGTGTATTTCTCTGTGCCCCAGCTTCCTCCTTTGTAAATAGGGTAAAACTATGCCTAGTCATTGGATGTGGATTAAAGATCTAGAGCAAAGTTTGGCACCAGGCAGTTGCCTAACAAATGTTAGCAATTATTATGTATGCACAAATGAAGTGGAAAATTGGGCAGTTGTCTTATTATTTGGGTTAAAATTAATAGCTATCCAGACAATGGGTATTTGGCTTGGAATTCTAGTCATTAACCAGGTCTGCAGCCGAAGGCATTATCTGCATTACGAAACAGCCTTTTATGGAACACCTGTGGAGAGGCAGCAGGACAAACAGCATGGGTATTGGAGGATAGACAGACTTGGATTTGTCAACTCTGCCCTTGACGTGAGCCCTTGAACAAATTATGGAACCTCTTCAAAGTGCAGCTTCCTCATCAGTGATGCTGTCTGGTTTTTGCACTCCTCTTTTATAACTTTGTAAGGTTGTGCTGAAGACTGCAAGAGATATTTTAAAAATTACATTTTTACTCTGTTCTTTAATCATATTGAACAGGACATTGCAATAATTTAAAAATTGTAATAGCTTAGTTATTTTAAAGTATATTTTAAAGGTGGAGGCATTCTTGCAGGTGAGCAATCTGAGTGAAGAATGATGCACTTTATTGGATTCTTTTTTTCTGAATTTGAAGGTAACAGTAGTGTATTATAGAAGTTTTGAAATGATAGCAAAGTATATGGTAGAATAAAATTCCAGTATCCCATTCCCCAGAGATAACATTATTAGTAACCACCTTTTTAATGCCTAAGTGTGTATCATATTAATATTATATTTAATGTAAATATTAATAGGAAAATATAGCCGTATTTGTAAATCAATGAACAGAATTATATTAAATGAATTCACCTTTTACTGGAAACAATTTTGAAATTATTGTAAGAAAAGAGGCAAGAATAGTACAAAAGACCCCCCCCATGCCTTTTTGGCAGTTTCACCAGTTGTTAACATTTTGCCTCATTGGTTTATCATTTATGATCTCTGCCTTTCTCCCTCCCTCCCTCCACACATAAATACATACAAGTTTTATATGCATACATGCATATTCACATATACACATGCATGCATTCATAAGGTATATATGCATGTACACAAACAGGTACACATCCACACATGTGCATATATACCTATACATGGACCTACATTTTATTTTCTAAAGGCTATTCAAGGATAAGTTGCATATATTATATAGATGCATATGTTATCCCTAACTTCTTCAGTATGTATTTCCTAAGATGAGGCTGTTTCCTTATATAACCACAGTACAGTTGTCAACTTTAGTAAATCGAACACTGATAAAATACTTTTTCTCCAAATCTATTGTCCATATCCAAATTGACTATAATGTCATTTATGGCATTTCCCCCCTCCAGTATAGGTGCCAGACTGGGGTCACAGGTTGCATTTAGTTGTCATATCTCTTTAGTCTCCTTTAATCTGAAATAGTTCCTCAGCCTTTCTTTGTCTATTATTACATTGATGTTTTTGAAGAAAACAGTCATTCCCTGTCCCCACCTTTTAGTATGTTTCTCCCTTGGGCTTTCCTTGCTCTTTCTTTAGGATTAGATTCAAGCAATGGACTCTTAACTGGATTCCTGTAGAGTGAGGTCATGTCCTTCTCAGGGTGTCCTGTCCACAGGCACATGAGGCTCACCTGCCCCCCCATTTGTGAATAAAGATACGACTGAGTGGTGGGGAAGAGGAGGACTCACACTTTGAGGTTAAGACTTGACTCAGACTGCCTGGGTTTCAACTCTGGCTTCGCCATGTAAACCTGGGCAAGCGGTCCACATTGTTGTCGCAGTGTCTTCATCTGTAAAGAGGGAATTTAAAAAGAGTTTGCTGATACTCACCTCCTAAGGTTGTTATTGAGATTAAATATATGTAGAGTGCTAAAAATATGACTGGCACGAAATTAACATCATGTGAGTACCAGCCACCATCATTGATATCGATTTTCCCAACAATATGATAATTACCATTCTTTTTGAAAAATTAAGAAAATAAAGTCGCTGAAATGCTGAGTGTCTTGTTTAAGCTCATGCAGGTGGGATTCTAAGTCTCATGAAACCAAATGCCGTGCTCTCCTTGTTCACGATATCTTTATTTGGTTTTTGCAAGATCCATTGTAAGCAAACCTAATTTCTGCAGAGTAGATTTGAAAGCATCAGGAGAATATATGCTGGTGTTACATAGTGGTAAAGCCTCTAGGAGACAGATCTGGTGTTCTTCCCAGCCTCCTCCTGCCTGGAGAGGTGCATGCTGCTGATGTGGCTCCGTGCCACTGGGAAATAGAGCAGAACTTACTCCTTTGGGATCTAGTGTTCATTATGGAAGTGGGTATCGCCAGATAAAATAGATTAATTTTATTTGGACAAATCTTTGAACATTTGTGGAAAATATTTGGAGCTTTTTAGTGTAAAAATGGTGCCAATTCCCAAATCTTCAAATTGACTTTCAGGCATTATGATACAATTTGAAGTTTCTTTTTATGTAAGTGATTTTGTAAATGTGTTTGTACAGAACTGTGACAGTTGGAGACTTGCATATTCCTTTCTCTTTCATGGTTTGGCTAGGCCTCTTTTCTGTGGATTAGGAACAGGTGAAGGAAGCATTGTATCAAAAGCAGTCTAGTTTTACTCTTCTCTCATTTGCTTAGACACAACTGATCTAGATTTCTAACAATGTCACCTTATTTTAGGGGAAAGGATTTGGAGTTAACACCGATTTTATTCCCCTACCCTTTTTTTTTGCCCCAGCAATCTAGAAACTATTCTAAAAGATGAGAAATATGTATTAGTAGAAACAAGTCTTTAATAGGTTACAGTCCACAAGATGTAGTGAGGAGTTATGGGGATGCTACCTGCTCATGAATTTTTTCCTCCCCAGCCTACAGGAACACCCATTCCCCTACCTGACTTGACTACCCTCTATAGAGTCATTAATGGGTCAGGACAGTAAGGGCGGAGAGACTAAACAGGAGACCAAAAAGCTATGGTTTAGCAAGAACTGAGCAAGAAAAGACAGACACGGGATGCTTGTTTTTGCAAGCACACTTCATTCCCTCTTGTAGTTATACTCTGATTTCCTTATGGGCAATAGCGTCCCCTTATCCAGTTTCTCTTTTTGTGGTTTCAGTTGCCCGCAATCAATGGTGGTATGAAAATATTAAATACACAATTTAAGAAATAAACAATTTATAAGCTTTAGATTGCACACATTTCTGAGTGGCTTGATGAAATCTCAGCCATCCTGCTGGGCATGTGAATCATCCCTTTGTCCAGTGGATCCACACAGACGCTCTGGCCTGCCAGTCATGGGCATCTCTGCTCCTGACTTCTGAGCATCGGGTGCATAACCCGAGATCACCGGAGGCAGGTGATCCTCCTGCCGAATCCTCAGAAGGTCAACATTAGCCCCAGACTCCCTCACGATGCCTGCGCCACACACCTGACTCCATCTCATCACATAGGTGTTGTGTCATCTCACATGGCAAGAAGGTGAGCACAGACGAAAGGTCCCCGACTCACGAGGATTCAGCCTAATGATTTTTTGATTTTGTGATGGCGAGAAAGTGATCCACATTCAGTAGAAACTGTAAGTCGAGTACTCATATAACATTCTGCTTTTTACTTTTAGTACAGTTACTAAGTTATATGAGATATTCAACACTTTATTATAAAATAGGCTTTGTGTTAGAAGATTTTACTCAACTGTAGGCTAATGTAAGTGAGCATGTTTAAGGTAGGCTAGGTTAAGCTGTGATGTTCAGTAGATTAGGTTTATTAAGTGCATTTTTGATTTATGATATTTTCAACTTAGGAGGTTTATCAGGATGTAACCCCATTGTAATAGAGCAGCATCTATATAGTACAATAAGATATTTTGAGAGAGAGACTGAGACCACATTCATATAACTGTTATTACAGTATACTGTTATAATTCTATTTTATTATATTGTTAATCTCTTACTGTGCCTAATTTATAAATTAAACTTTATCATAGGTATGCATGCATAGGAAAAAACGTAGAGTATATAGGGTTTGGTGTTATCTGTGGTTTCAGGCATGCCCTGAGGATCAGGAAGGAATACTATAGTTTCCTGTTGTGGTTGTAAAAGATCATCACAAATTTAGTGACAAAAGCAACACAAATTTATTATCTTAAAGTCAGTCTGCCTGGGCTATATCAGAGTGTCAGCAAGGCTACATTCTTTCTGAAGGCTCCAGGGGAGAATCTATTCCTTGTCTTTTCCAGCTTCTAGGGGCCGCCTCAGTCCTGGGCTTGCATCCCCCTTCCTGCAATCCTGTGGATCGGATCTCTTTTTGCACTATCACTTTACTACCTTTGACTCTGATACTCCTGCCTCCCTGCCATGAGGACCCTTGCCATGCACTGGGCCCGCCTGGATAGTCCAGGATCTCTCCCCAGCTCAAAGCCTTCACTTAATCACATGTGCAGAGTCCCTTTCAGGTAAGATAGCATATCATGTGTTCTGGGGATTAGGGTGTGGACATTGTGGGGGGCCGTCAATAGGTGGACCAGAGGAACCTCATTTCCCCCACTCTCAGTCCGCATTCTTCAGCTTAGATCACACGTCCAGCACAGGGGAGAGTAGAAGGTCTAAGTCTAAGCCAATAGGTACCTCGCATTGGTCCAGAGATGGGAATGTGACCCAGTCAGAGCCAATGACACAAACTAAAACTTCACCCCTCATTAAACGGATCTCAGTTTTTTTCTGGTTTCATAAGTCCCTTTCAGGTTAGTTCAGTCTCTTTCTCACTTTCAATTCCAAGTTGAAGTCATTATCAACACTGTGCTCGGCGCAAAGATTTGGATTCACTGGTGTTTTTGGGCCCCCAAGTCTTGGCGACTTTCAGCATCCCAAACGGCTCCTGGGTCTCCCCCCACCCCACTGCCGTGTCCCCCCAACCTCAGAGCCGGTACCCCGCAATCTGGATACTGCCGGTCGCCGTGGGGACCGTGATGCCTCCGTGTCGCAGAGCCGGGAGGCAGGCGCGCCCCTGGCTGTGGTGCGACCCGACTCCGCACGCCTCCTCGTCCTTCCTCTCAGGCTGCGCGTGTCCAGCGCCCTTGGCGAAGAGCCTCCACAAAACCTCCACGGGAAGCTTTGGCCAAGGGTTTTAACCCTTTGGCTCCTCCCCGGCCCAGGTATCTTCCTGAACTTACCTGCCCAACCTTGGGCAGTCTTCGGACACCTTGGCCTACACATGACCCAGCGGCGTCAGGCAACGTCGCGCCACCCAGCCCCATCCGCGCCTGTCCTCTCGTCCCCCCGCTGGTGGCTCAGCCCTGGAGTCACCCCATCCCTTCCCCACGTCACGTGCCACAGTCCCAAACTCCTCTTGTCCCAAACTCCTGTTGGCTCTACTTCCAAAAGACGCCGGAATCCAGCCCCCTCCTCTGCTGCCACCCTGATCCGACCCCTCTGTCTCCCTCATCCCCTCAAGTCCTGTAGCAGGTGTCTCAGGCCCAGCCCTGTCCCCTCCCGTCCCCTCTTGCAATGCGAGTCAGAATGCTCCCGTTAGACTATTGCATCGCGGTAAAAGCCCACGGGACTCCAGCGTCCCCCGCTCGGCCCCACGACCGCCCCAGTCCCATTTCCGTCTGTCCTCCACGCGCTGCGGAATCATCCTGGCCATCTCGCTGTCCTTCGGTTATTCACGGGGCGCTCGGCACACCCTCGTCCCAGAGCCTCCCCCTTGCTGTCCCCTGCCCGCCCGCAGGTCCCTTCGTACCGGCCCTGTCTGTCTCGTGGTGTGCCCCTCCGCCCGGGCGAAGGGCCCTCGGAGCAGCGGTGTCCTGTTGTGTCCAGGCAGGGTCCCCGTGCGTAGGACAGCCTGGCATGCAGCGGGCTCGCAGGTGACTGCAAAACGCGCCTTCACTATGGATGGGGCTTCAGGGAAAAGCCTGGGAGCGCCGCCTGAGTGGCACCTGGGCCTCCCGCGCCCCTGATCCTGCGTGCGCACAGCACCCCAGCCAGCGCGGCCACCAGCCCTGCCTGCGCGCTGGCCTGGAGGGAGACGGCGGGGCGTCGCGCGCTGGGCGCCCCTCGCGGCCCTGAGTGTCGCGTGTCGCCTCGCTGTCCTGCGCCGACCACCGCCGCCCCGCGTCTCGGGCCGCCCTCTCCGAGAGCCCTCCAGCGGCATTTCCTTCCGTTGTAAACCAGCCGGTCAAGGGGACTCGGACACCAGAATCTAATCAGCCAAATTAGTTTATTGATGCCTGCGCAGGGGCTTCGCCACTCCATGCGAGGAGGGAGCAGCAGCCCCAGCAAGGCCTTCGCGGTTTTCTATACCTCAGGGCCGGCAGCTATGCCAGCCAGCAATCACAGAAGCAGGACTTTGCGGTAGTCGTTAACCAAGCCAACAACGAACGGTACATCAGGGACAAGGGACTCTTCCTGGAACAGGACCTGTCTATTCTTTTTGGGAACAGGCCTCCTCAACGCCCTCTTCCCTCTCCTGGGAACTTCCTCTGGGAACCTTTACTAATGGTTGGAGCAAGACTGACTCCATTTTAGATGTACGGGCGCCATCTTTAGTCCGTCTACTTCAGTCCCCACTGGTCTTACTAGCTAATCAAATCCTTGATTCTACGGGGGATCTGGGTCAGGTGAAGTTTGGTATTGGGTGCTTAAGACCAACAGTTTGAACGCTTGCACAGTTTTGCACAAATGCCCTGATATGGTTAATTATGAAGGGGCCACAAGTAAGCCCTAGGAGAAGATTAAGGGACCTGGGAGGGCAGATACTAGGGTTGTCAACCAGGGTGACCAATTGAAGAGAGTTTTATACCAATATGACTCTTTTTGTTGTTGTTCTTTTCTTGATTTGATTTGTTTTTTTTTTACTAAAGCTAGACTATCTCTGATTACTCCAGATCTATTAGTATAAAAGCAGCATGTTTTCCCAAGGGCCATACAAAGCCCCCCTTGCTTTAGAAAAAGTAAGTCCAACCCGCGGCGGTTTTGTAGAGAGACTACGGCTAAAGAGTTTAGGGAAGCTTCTAGGTGGGAAATGGAATTTCCTAGCTCTGTCAGGTCTGCATTGACCTGGGTGGTGAAGGCTCGGAAGCTGGGCTTAGAGGTCCGGTAGCCAGGGCAGTGATGCTGAGGGCGGTCGATCCAGCCAGTCAACGTGTGGCTCCTCCACAGCCCACAGCTTCGGCCGGGCACGCGTTGGTGCCTGCACCAGTGGCCTCACCCCACGGCCTCCCGTAAAAGCTTCCCACCACCGTACTTGGTTAGGGAGGTTTCAGCCCAGTAAGTTACACGGATCAACTATAAAGAAGGGTTGCTGATCAGTAGCGTTTGTCTGGGCAATTTCCTGTCTGTCCTCCGTGCGTGACAAAACCCAGGTAGATGGGGGCATGTAGTGGGATCTGCCCAAGTCCGACTGGTCTAACCCGGGGGAATTGCTGCTAGGAGCAAGAGGAGGACTATGGAGTGTGTCGGGACAAACACACCTTTAGGGGGTCGCCTGTGTCTTTTATTTTCCATGTTTCTGGTATCTGGCTATCTTGGGCCCTTTTCACTTGCATATAATGGACCCAGGTCTTTTTCCGCAACCTTGACAGCTGTGGGAGTAGTGAGGATACAGGGTATGGTCCATCCCACCGAGGTTCGAGGGAGTCTGGGTTGTGTCTCTCTCTCTCTTTTTTTTTTTGCAATCACACAAGAGGAGGTTTATTTTCTGGCTAGCCAGGGTCCAAGCCCCAGAGCACCAATGCAGTGGCCACTCTCGCAGGCAAGGACCCCGACTGGAACAACGGCATGCCTTTTATCCCCATGGTGCACAAGCTGCGCACAAGCTGACTATGCATGGATCATGCATTGACTTTTAAAATGATTGGTTGCCCACTTTTGCCTTTTGAAATAATTGGCGGGTTGGTTGCCCTCTATTACCTGATGGGCCAGTCGCCCGTGCTTCAATGACCTCATCCCATAATTCCCCATACAGTGGTGTAGCAAGCAAGCAATGACCAGAAGCAAAAGTTTGTGGTTAGCTCATTGCCCGACCCAAGTAAATTCCCGACAATTGGAAAAATTCCTCTGCCCTTCCTCTGTCCTACAAATTCCTCTGCCCTACATTCCCCCCTTTCTCTAGGTAGCAGACGAGCGCTCTTGCTCGTCCTCAAGGTCTCTTAGGTGCTCTAGTTCTATAGCACTTGACCACAGCTGCTGATATTGTTGTTGCAATACTAGTAGCTGGACAGTGTTTATCCATTCTTTCACAAAAGCTACTAGTCTATTAATTACACATGGCGCGAAAGTAAGGACTAAGATTGGCATAATGAGTGGGCCTAGTAGGGTGGATAGTAGCGTTGTTAACCAGGGGGAACTGTTAAGCCAAGACTCAAACCAACCTGCTTGCTGTTCATATTCCCGTTTGTGGCGGGCAAGCCCTTCCCTGACTTAGCTATAGATTCTCTAACAATCCGTATGGTCTGCATAGAAACAACATTCTTCTTTGAGGGCAGCACACAGTCCTCCTTGCTGGGAACACTAGATCTAACCCCTCCGGTTCTGGAGCTACCTCGATAGGGAGGTTAGTGACTTTTCTAGGTGTGAGATTGAATCTTCTATCCTTGCAATATCTTCATCAACAGCTGCCCTCAGAGTATTAAACCCTCTTTGCTGCATTGCCAGAGAAGAGATACTAGTTCCTGCTCCTATTGCCCCTAAGCCAAAAAGAGTAGCCAGGGTTATGGCTGTGAAGGGCTTTTTCTTTCAAAAATTAGGTTGGTGACTCTTCGCCCACATGCCCTCATACATTGTCTCCTCAGTGTGTATATTATTTTTTGGAACACTAACACCATTATAACAGTAATCTTTAGACCCATGTAAGTTTATGGGGTTGGTGGGGGTTGAGGGGGAGGGTAAGTACAGCTGTAGGTGTCCATCCAAAAACATTAGACCAAAAACACAACATCCCAAAAACACAACACCAACCCACCGCGACATCCATGTTGTCACCCAGTCAATCCTTAGATGTCACAACCCAGTCAAGTCTGTCAGCAGTCTGGACTGTCGCCACCACTGGTCGTCTGGTCTCAGGATTCTTCGGGTCTGCAGTTGCTTCCTGTCTGCACGCTCTGGTCTTTTTTTTTTATTAGCAGGTCTCACGTGGGAGTGGTGTATCCAGGTTGCTACTATTCTATCGACCTTAAGAGCAGTGGCGGTAACAAGAATAATTTGATAGGGGCCCTTCCACCTCGGCTCGAGGGTTCTGCTGTTATGCCGTTTCACCCACACCCAGTCTGGTGTGGGTGAAACGGGTGTCCGGCACCCTCCTCCTCAGGCCGGTAGATGGACGGAGGCCCGGCCATACTTGACTGTGGACACGTTGCAGAGCCTGCACCGCTTTGTAACACTTCTTGGATGTCTGGAAGAGCCTCAGGGCTCATCCTAGGAACTACAGGAGGGGTGTGCCGTACATGATTTCAAAAGGGGTTAAACCCAAAGTGATAAGGGGTGTTCCGGGCCTTGGAACAGGGTGAAGGGAAGGAGGGTCACACAGTCTCCGCCAGTTCCAGGGCCATTTAGTCAGGGTCTCCTTTATTGTTCTATTCATCCCTACCTGCCCAGAGCTCTGGGGTTATATGCACAATGTAATTTCCAATCTATCCATACCCTGGCCAGCCCTTGACTAACCTGACAGACAAACGCAGGTCCATTATCTGATCCTATCCCTTCCGGCAGTCCATTCCTGGGGACTATTTCTTCTAATATTTTCTTAGCTACTGTCAAAGCTGTTTCTCCTTTCGTAGGGAAGGCTTCTACCCATCCGGAAAACATATCTACCATGACCAGTAAATATCGGTACCCGTATTTTCCAGGCTTGACCTCTGTGAAATCCACTTCCCAAAATAGTCCTGGCTGCCTCCCCCTTTCCCTCGTACCTGCATGGGTCCTTCTGGTCCTCCCCAGCTGCATGACCTGACAGGCTCGGCAACTTTTGATGATGTCATCTGGAACCTGTTCTTGTGACTTGAACCTTAGTTGAGCAGTGTCCAGCAGTTGCAGCATCTTTCTCTTCCCTAGATGTGTGGTCTGATGCAGGTGTTCTAACAGGTGGCGTCCTAAGAGTTCTGGCACTATTAGGCGATGCCCTTCGTCCTGCAACCAGCCATCTTCATTTTTGCTTACACGTAGCTGCTCTGAGGCCCAGGCCTCATCTACACTGGAATAGTCCGGCAGAGGAGGCAACCGTCCCATGCCTGGGGGTGGCAGGCTAAGGTGCAGGATGTCTGGCTGCGGAGTGCCTTCTGCAGCCTTCTTAGCTTCAGCGTCCGCTCTCCGATTGCCCCGTGCTTCCACTGAATCCCCGCTCTGGTGTCCCGGGGTGTGGACTACCGCCACTGCCTTTGGCAGCAAAACAGCCTCCAGTAAGTGGAGTATTTCAGGCTTGTGCTTAATTTCTTTTCCCTCTGCCATGATGAAGCCCCTTTCCCTGTAGAGGGCCCTAAGGCATAGTGGTCGTCAGTGTACACTGTCAGCCTTTTTTGTCGGGCCCGGCTAAGAGCCTCCGTCAGCGCTATTAGTTCTGCCTTCTGAGCAGATGTCCCTTGCGGAAGGCGTGCCGCCCAGACAAGTTTACCTTGGTCATCTACTATGGCCGCCCCTGCGTACCTGCGTCTGTCCCGGACGAAACTGCTTCCGTCCGTGAACCAGGTCAGGTCGCTACCTGGAACGGGGCGATCCTTCAAGTCTCTACGGGTCGTCTGGGTCTCGGCTAGGATCTCAAGGCAATCATGCTCAGGTGCGGCTGCATCGGGGGTTGGCAGAAGCGTAGCTGGATTCAAGGCGGCAGGGGCCCGGAACTCAATGTGGGGTGCGTCCAGCAAAAGCCCTTGGTAATGAGTCAGCCTCGCATTTGTCATCCACCGTCCCGGTGGCTGCTTCAGAACCCCCTCTATGGCGTGCGGGGTGGTGATCTGCAGCCGCTGCCCTAGGGTGAGCTTATCAGCGTCTTTGACCAACAGGGCCCTGGCTGCGATGATTCACAAGCCCGCTGGCCACCCTGCCGCCACCGGATCTAATTTTTTTGACAAGTATGCCACTGGTCTCTTCCAGGGTCCCAGGGCCTGCGTGAGTACCCCCTTGGCTATTCCCCTCTTCTCGTCTATGAACAGGTGAAACTCTTTTGTAGGATCAGGGAGTGCTAGGTCCGGGGCTTCCAGCATGGCTGCCCTCAGGGCCTGAAAAGCGTCTTCCATTTGCACAGTCCACTCCCATGCTCGCCCCGCCCTACACCCTTCATACAGAGGTGGAGCCTTTTCCGCAAACCCTGGAATCCAGAGGTGGCAGTAACCCACCGACCCCAGGAATTCCCTCAGTTCTCGGCTTGAGGCTGAAGTGGGTATCTTTAACACAGTCTGCTTCATTGCCTCGGTTAGCCACCTTCGGCCACCTTTTATTTTATATCCCAAATAGGTGACTTCATCCTTGCAAATTTGAGCCTTCTTTGCACTGGCTCGGTACCCCAACTCGCCTAATACTTTGAATAAGTTTTTGGTGTCCTCTAGGCAGGCCTGGGGGTTAGGTGCAGCTAACAGCAAGTCATCTATGTACTGCAGCAGAGTCACCTCTGGGTGATTAGTTCGTACTGCAGCAGAGTCACCTCTGGGTGATTAGTTCGGTACTCACCAAGGTCATCATGGAGGGCCTCGTTGAACAGGGTAGGCGAGTTTTTAAACCCCTGGGGCAGTCTCTTCTATGTCAGCTGCTCATGAATTCCTCTCTTGTCGTCCCGCCACTCAAAGGCGAAAATCTCCTGGCTGCGTGTCGCCACCACCAGGCTAAAGAAGGCATCCTTTAGGTCTAGGACGGTATACCAAGACAGCGTGGGAGAGAGAGAGCTCAACAGAATATAGGGGTTAGGGACTTTGGGGTGGATATCCAGGGCCCTTGCATTGACTTCCCTGAGGTCTTGCACAGGCCTATAGTCCTTACCCCCCCACCCCCCCCACCCCCGGTTTCTTCACCGGCAACAGGGGGGTGTTCCAGGCCGACTGGCATTTCCGGAGAATCCCACTGTCCAGGAGTCTCTGAATGTGGGGCGTAATTCCCACTCTGGCTTTCTGGGACATGGGGTACTGTCTGCCTCGGGCTGGCTCGGCTCCGGGTTTTAACTCAACGTAAAGAGGCGGCCGGTGTTTTGCCCATTCTGTGCCCCCTGTCTCGGCCCACGCCATGGGAAATACACAGAGCCATTGCTCCATGCCTTCCTCTCTGCTTTTTGGGGGCTAGTACAGTCTATATTCATCTGCCTGTGTCAGGGTCAGGATCTGAGTGACCCCTGTTATTATTACTCCCTCTTCCTCAAAATGAATTTGAGCCTTAAGCTTGGTAAGGATGTCTCTTCCCAGTAGCGGCGTGGAGCACTCAGGGATGACCATAAAGGTGTCACTCACTTGTCCTGAACCCAAATCCAATCTCCGCCGTGTGGTTCACTGATATAGTTTGGCTCCTGTTGCCCCCTGTACCCAACTGGTCTTACTGGACAGTTTTCCTGTGTCTTCTGTTAGTACCGAATGTTCTGCTCCTGTATCTATGAGGAAGCTGACTGGATTCCCCTCCACTTGCAAAGTTACCCTAGGTTCGGGGAGGGGGACCGAACCCTGTCTTCCCTATTCGTCTGTCACCTGTCCTGCACCCATGACTTTTTCAGGACCTCCAAGTCTTCGCCCCCCTTTCTTTTTGGGGCACTCTCGGGCCCAATGCCCATGCTCCTTGCAATTGGCACATTGATCCTTCCTAGCCTCTCCTGCCGGGGCCTTTCCCTATCCTCTGACCCTATCTGACCCCCTCTTGTGGCGGCTAGCAGGATTTTAGCCATCTCTCTGTTTGCTTTCCGTGCTTCCCCAGCTTGGAATTTCCTATCTTCTAACCTGATCCTCTCTAAACTCTCTTCTGGCGTCTCTCTATTGTTATAGACCTTCTCCGCCACTTCTAACAGGTCCTGCAGAGTCTTCTCACCCAATCTATCTATTCTCTGCACCTTGCGCCTAATGTCGGGGGCCGCCTGATTGACAAACACCATCATAACAGCGGCTTATTCTCCTCCATTGTGGGATCTATGGGGTGTACTGCCGGAAGGCCTCCATGATCCTCTCTAAGTATGCTGCCGGGCTCTCTGGCCCCTGACGAACGTCTCCTACCTTGGCCAAATTGGTCGGCTTTCGCGCCGCCATACGGAGACCAACCATCAGAGTCTGGCAGTAGACCCGGAGATGCTCCCTGCCTTCAGCCTCATTGTAGTCCCAAAGCGGCCGTTCAAGGGGAAAAGTTCGGTCGATGGTTGGCGGGTTTGTAGTAGGTCTGCCATCCTCCCCGGAACCAGCTTCCGAGCCTCCCCCTGAATCCTTTCTCTTTCCTCCGTTGTGAAGAGCACCTTAAGCAACTGCTGGCAGTCATCTCAGGTGGGCTGATGAGTGAAAAGAACAGAGTCTAAAAGATTAGGTCTCTCAGATTCTCGGAGATTGGAGTCCGGCAACGCTGGCGTCCCAACGGACCGTGGACTGCGTGCCCTCTCCTTTCTGACCTCTTTAACTGCCAGAACTTCCGCCTTTCCCCTCGGGGCAGGTAGGAGGGCCTTCAGCCATGGTGGCGGGTCTACAACCAAGTCTTGCCAGACCACAATATAGGGGATCTGATCAGGGTGGCCGTGGTGGCCAAATACCACCTTTTACCTTTTCCATCAAGGAGGCATCAAACGAGCCCTCCCTGGGCCACCCCACTCCAAACGTGGGCCACTCGGCCTCACAAAGGGTAACAAACTTTCCCTTCTTGACCTCTAGGGACAGGTTGTGTGCCCTTGCCCTGACATCCTTAAAATGGCTAACCAGGATGGACAACGGCGTTGTTAGAGCCTGTCCCATGGCTAGTCGATAATAGGCAGATGTGCAAACCGATATTCCGCAGTTGGGGCACTGGGGACAAGGATCTGAATCCCTAGCCTTTCACACTCCCTACGGAGGTAACGGCCGTGCCCCTCCCGCACTAGCCACTCCTGGCGCGGGCGGCAGGAGATACACTGTGCGCTGCCAGCCCATGCAGGGGAATACTCACCTGGAGGTTCTAGTCGCCCCCGCGGATCTTTTCGTGGGTCCCCTGATTCCATGGCCCCAGCCCGAAAACCCATGCAACCCTGATGGGTTCTCGGGCTGAAACCACAGAACCCAGAGACTCCAACAAGCCAACGAGAGATGTCACACTTGCTCACACATACACAGAAAGCCGGTGACAAACAAAGCAGACAACAGACAAGTGGACAGTGAGGTAAACAGACAACCTAACCTGGTCCGGACCTGCTCCCCGGTATCCTCCTGACCGAGCCCTTGGCTACAAGGTCAGCTCCAGAGTCCCAACGGGGCCAGAGGACGTCTCTGCCTGGCTCCGACCGGCGACCCACCAGCGCGTCCACCTAGGTCCTGTGCCGGCGTCCTGATCTGGGGTCCTGCAAAGGGATTCTGAGTCCCTTGCCCAACACCACACCCGGCTAGTCCGGGGTGGATTTTCACACTCCTCCCTCAGCCCTGAATTCTATCCGGTAGTCTGTGGGGAAGGCAAATCCCGGACAAGCCCCCAAATGTTAGGGACCGACCTTCCACAGCCCCACCGGACAGAAAGGCAGAGACATCGAGGATGCAATCACACAAGAGGAGGTTTATTTTCTGGCTAGCCAGGGTCCGAGCCCCAGAGCACCAACGCAGTGGCCACTCTCGCAGGCAAGGACCTGGGTTGTGTCTCTTAATCCACACCCAATCACCGGGCTCCAAATGGTGAAGCGGATCCAGACCAGGAGGGAGAGGCCTTGAATCCTGCTGGGCCCTGACAGCTTTTCGGAGGTCCGATCGGAGACGTTGGAGCTAAGAAGGTTATGGTTACTTATGGAGGCCAGTGCCTCTTGCCTTAATTTTGGCAATATTGGTGGGGGAAATCCGTACGTGATTTTAAAGGGGATGATTTCTACCTTGTAGTGAGTGCAGTGGGTGTGCAGTAAGGCAAAGAGGAGTAGGCTAACCCAATTTTCGCCAGTCTCTAAATGCAATTTGGTCAAAGTTTCTTTTATGGTCCTATTTATTTTTTTAACCTGCGTGGAACTCTGAGGCCTGTATGCACAATGCAACTTCCAAGTAATTTTTAATGCCTGGCTACTGTTTTGGACATCTGGGCGGTAAACGCCGGGCCATTGTTGGACCCCAATGCTAGAGGGAGGCTGAATCGGGGCATTATCTCAGTGAGTAGGAACTTAGCCACTACCTGTGCTGTTTTCTTTTTAGTAGGGAAAGCTTTAGTCCAACCTGAAAAAGTATCCACTAATACAAGGAGGTACCTGTACCCATACTTTCCTGGTTTTATTTCAGTGAAGTTGACCTCCCATTGTTCTCCAGGGCTTTGTCCCCTTTGGCGTTGTCCAGTGAGTTGGGGTGTCTTAGTTCCATTTACTTTTACACAGGTTACACAACGACTAGCAATGTCCTTTGTTACTGCAGCCAGATTTGTGAGGAGAAAATGCCTGGACACAAGTTGCTGACATTTTGTAGCTCGTAGGTGAGTTCCCTGATGAAGGTTTGAAAAAGTTCCTGCCCTACTTCCTCGGGGAGGAATATACTGCCATCTGGAGTCTTAAGCCATCCATTTTCTCCTTGGACACAATTCATCTTAGCCCCTACCCTTTGCTCCTCGTGGGAGTAAGTTGGTTTTGGGGGCAGGAGTCTTGCAGGCAAGACAGGCAAAACATCGATAGGCCCCACTGGTCTTTGGGCCACTTCCTTGGCACTCTGGTCAGCAAACATATTGCCCTTAGTTATGTCTGATTTATCTTTTTGGTGGCCCTGGCAATGGACAATTGCTACTGCTTTTGGAAGCCAAATGGCCTCTAACAGGGCCAGGATTTCTGCCTTGGTTTTTATTTCCTTGCCCCCTGAGGTTAGGAGTCCTTGTTCCTGGTACAGAGCCCCCTGTACGTGTGCCATTGCGAATGCGAACCGGCTGTCTGTGTAGATATTGACAGTCTTTCCTTTGGCCAGTCTTAAAGCCTGGGTCACGGCTAGTAGCTCTGCCCTTTGAGCTGAGGTGCCATGCCCTAATGCTTGTGCCCATAGTACCTCAGTCATGGTGGCGACCACTGCTCCCACCACTCGCACTCCATCCCGGATGAAACTGCTCCCATCCGTGAAGAGTTGCAGGTCAGCGTCCGGCCTTAGGCTAGATAAGGCTTCTAGAACTTGTTTACATTCATGCACTGCAAGGTGGGGTCATCATCAGGGAGAAGGGTGGCTGGGTTAAGGGCCGTGGTGTGTGAGAAACTGGTCCAGCAGGAGGACTCGATACTGGGTGATATGAGCGTTAGAAATCCACCCATCAGGAGGGCTTCACAGTAGAGTTTTTACCATGTGTGCCCCAGCAACCTGTAAGTCCTGTCCCAGAGTTAGTTTCTTTTCCTCTTTTACTAAAAGGGCTGTAGCCACAACAGCTCACATACATCCCGGCCACCCAGAGGCTACGGGGTTTGGATAAGTAGGCTACTGGTCGCTGCCACGGTCTCAGTGTTTGGGTTAGAACCCCTTTGGCTTTCCCCAGGCCTCAGACACCAACAGCTGGAACAGCTTTGTGACATTCGGTAGTGACAGAGCTGGTGCAGCAGTGAGAGCTGCGTTCAGCTCCTTGAAGGCTTGTTGTTCTTTTTCTGTCCACATCAAGGATGGTCCCTGCCCCCAGTGCTGGAGTATAGGGGCTTGGCTAAGTCTGCGAACCCTGGAATCCACAGACGGCAATATCCCACCGCCCCTAAGAACTCTCTGACTTGCCTTTTGGTGGCGGGTACAGGTATCTGCAATATGGCTCGGATTTTGCTCTGAGAGAGGGCTCGATGACCCCCAGTCAACTCATATCCCAGGTATGTTGCCGTCTGGGTGTACAGTTGAGCCTTTTTTGCTGACACCCTATAGCCCAACCTTTGTAACTCTTGCAGGAGACTCAGGGAGGCGTGCCGGCATTCCTCCTCGGTTTCAGTAGCTATCAGCAGGTCATCGACATACTGTAGCAAAGTGACCTCGGGGTGTCTTTCCTGGTACCCCTGTGGATCCCTACCTAAGGCCTCATCAAAGAGGGTTGGTGAGTTTTTGAATCTTTGGGGAAGGCGTGTCCAGGTTAACTGCCCTGAATAACCTCCTTCAGGGTCTGTCCATTCAAATGCCAAAATCGGCTGACTCAGTGGGGGGAGAGGCAAGGAGAAGAAAGCATCTTTGAGGTCTAGGACTGTGTAGACCACCCGGTTAGGGGGAATGAGGCTCAGCAGAGTGTAGGGGTTGGGTACGATGGGGTGGATAGTTTCCACTCTCCGGTTTACCTCCCTCAGGTCCTGTACTGGCTGATAGTCATTAGTTCCAGGCTTTTTAACTGGTAACAGTGGGGTATTTCAGGCCGACTGATAGGGGATTAATATCCCCGCGTCCCTCAGGCACTTAATGTGCACCGCTATGCCTTGTCGGGCGTCCAAAGAAATAGAGTACTGGCGTACGCGCACAGGGCTTGCTGTGCTGCAGTTGCACTACTACGGGTGGTTGGTGCTTTGCCAAGCCTGGGGGGTTTGTTTCAGCCCATACACCCGGGACTTGAGTCCTCCACTGTGCCAACAAGGCGGAGCTCCCTGAAGCCTCTGAGGCTGTCTCTTCAAAGAGGATGTATTCCTCGGACAAGGGGGTTGAGTATAGGATGCACTGCGGGGGCTCAGGAAGAGACAGAGCGGTCCCTTCCGAACTGAAGGAGATGGTGGCATGCAACTTTTCTAGCAGATCTCTCCCAAGCAGCGGGTATGGGCAGTCTGGCATAACTAGAAAGGAGTGTGTGATGACCCCTTTTCCTAAATCTGTGAGCCTGGCAGTAGTCCATAGATACATTTTGGGCTGCCCCATTGCCCCCACTATGGGAGTCTTGGTTTTGGTTGGCGGTCCCACAGCCTCTTTTAGGACGGAGAAGGTAGCTCCCGTATCAACTAAAAAGTCCACAGGCCGGCCCCCTACCTTCAAGGTTATCATGAGCTCCCGGGGGCCAAGAGGATAGGAGCCCTGACCTCTTCATTGGGCATTTTCCAGGAAGACCTGGGCGGGCCTCTCCTTGGGCCTCCCCGTTGGGGCACTCGTTTTTCCAATGCCCGAATTGCTTATAGACTGCACATTGGTCGGGGGCTAATGTTTTTCCTCTATAGGAGTGTCCTCCTGGGAGAGTTTTGCGGCTTCCTGGAGGTGGGCCTCCCTGTCTTCAGGGTGGCCTAGTATCGTGCAGTGCGGCAATGACAACTCTTGCCGTCTTTTTAGTGGCTGCTACCTTCGTTGAGTCCCGGTTATTGAAGACCTTTTGAGCTATTTCCACTAACTCACTGAGATTTTTCCCTTCAAACCCATCTAATTTCTGCAACTTCCTCCCGATGTCTGGGGCCGACTGGGACACAAAGGCAACATTAATAGCTCTACGGTTTTCAGGGGCCTCCCGGTCTATGGGGGTGTAAGTCCGGTAAGCCTTGAACAATCGCTCTAAGAAGGCGGCCAGACTTTCCCCACTTCCCTGAGCCAATCCACTAACCTTAGACATATTTGTAGGCTTCCTAGCTGCTCCATGGAGGCCCAGCAACAGAGTCTGGTGATATTGGGTCAGCGACCCCCTACCTTGATCAGTGTTAGGGTCCCAGTCTGGTCTATGGTTGGAGAAGCGAGTCTCTATGAAGTCTGCATCGGATGCCGGCTGCCCATCCGGGCCAAGAACAGCTTTTCTCGCCTCCCAGTTTATGCCCTTGAGTTCTTCCAATGTGAAAAGAACCTGGAGGAGCTGCTGGCACTCGTCCCATTTGGGTCGGTGGGTGTGAAACGCCATTTCCAAGAGGGAAATGAGACCCTGTGGTTTTTCAGAAAATGGAGGGTTTTGGGCCTTCCAGGTATACAAATCACTGATAGAGAATGGGGCATAAACCATAAAAGGGCAGTCACTCTGGGCAGAGGGGCCATCTGGCACAGTGGTAAGATAGCCCTGGGGTCCCCTGATGAGTCTGGGGAAGGGGGTTGGTGTCCCTTTCCACGGGTCCTTGGTGGACTATAGGGTGGTTGGGGGTTGCTTCTCTCTCACCCTGAGCCTCTTGTCTCCTACCTAATTCTAGGGCCTTTCCCCCTCTCATCCGGCTTGTCTCCCCTGTCTTGGGTGGCCTCAGGGGGAGCATAAGGTGGAGGTCGCCATGGATCGCACAGGGGTCTTTACCCTGGGATGGGAAGACGAGGGCCGGTTCAAGGTGGGGGTCCCACCACGTCTTTAGAGACTTATCAGGGAACGGAGATGTTCTACGCCTGCTCCCTGGGTCTGGCTGGAAGTGCCTACGAATAAGACTTGAGAGGGCTTGACATCAACACACTTGGTTAGGTATTGGGGTCTTTCAGTAGCTATGTCAATCCAGACATCAATATACGGAACTTGGTCTGGGTGACCTGGGTCACTATAGACCACCCGCCATATACTGAGTAGGAGGGATAAGTTGAAGGAGCCCTCTGGTGGCCAGTGAGTGCCAAAAGAAGGCCACTCTAATTCACATAAAATCCTAAGAGTGGGCGCGTTGACCCTGGCACCGTAATCCCTGGCTCGCCTGGAAAAGTCGGAGAAGTTTTTCAGGAGACAACCCAAGGGGGTTTTCTGACCCTGTCCCATCCTGAAAGCGAAAAGGCCGGCCGAAAGCGGGAGAGAATTTAGAAGTTAGATCGAGAAAGGGACCCACCGGGACCCCCAGGCGGCGGAGTCCCAAGTCCTGTCCGGGTCTGCAAAGGGGAAGACGGCGGTGGATTTGTCAAATGTTTAGGGGGCTCTGGTCCGGAGGCTCCCAACCCCTTTTTCTTTTTCTCACAGTAAAAACAACATAGTACCGGCCCCTGGGGGAGACGATCCCCGTTTATGTTGTTGTCCCTCCCTTTCCCGACTTGAGACTTGAACAGAGCCACAAGACAGACAAAGGAGGGGGAGGTTTTTCTTTCAGGTGTCCGCCTGGCTGCGTCCCTCGCGGGAACTTAGGGGCGTCTTGGCTAAGGCGGACCCGGCCGGTCACTCCCTATGGCGGGGAGGGAATCGGCGGTGCCCTACGACGACGTCGCCGCAGAGCCGCAGGTGAGGACCCACTCAGACCCCAAGCCGAAGCCGTGGGGCCACAGCCTCAGTGGCCGCAAGCAGTCCCCAGTTGCTCTCGCTCACACATGCACACGGTGGTTAAACAACCCTCTCCCCAACACCCTGTGATATCCAGGCCTTACCCTGCCCTGATATCCGTAGCGACGCCTCACAAGGATACCGGAGGTGGCCCTTGTGCTGTGTCCAGTGGGTCCAACTCCCAGAAAACTCTGTACAGAGACCTACTCACCAAGAGACGTCCCTCGTCCCGGCGCCACTCAATGGGGTCCCCAGTCTACCGCGGGCGAGGACCGTCCCTCCGGGAACCCCTGCGGTCTGGGTCCGTCAGCGGTGGATCTCGCTGGGGCCTCCAAATGTCGCAAACCAGCGGATCAAGGGGACTCGGACACCAGAATCTAATCAGCCAAATTAGTTTATTGATGCCTGCGCAGGGGCTTCGCCACTCCATGCGAGGAGGGAGCAGCAGCCCCAGCAAGGCCTTCGCGGTTTTCTATACCTCAGGGCCGGCAGCTATGCCAGCCAGCAATCACAGAAGCAGGACTTTGCGGTTAGTCGTTAACCAAGCGAACAATGAACGGTACATCGAGGGACAAGGGACTCTTCCTGGAACAGGACCTGTCTATTCTTTTTGGGAACAGGCCTCCTCAACGCCCTCTTCCCTCTCCTGGGAACTTCCTCTGGGAACCTTTACCAATGGTTAGAGCAAGACTGACTCCATTTTAGATGTACGGGCGCCATCTTTAGTCCGTCTACCTCACTTCCTCGCACCGGCCGCCCACACTCCCGAAGGGGCGTGCGTCACCGGGACCACTCGGCCCTGAAACCCTGGCTGCAGACCGGCCACTTTCCAGTCTCGGCTCCCATCCTTTCCTCCGCTGTAGGAGAAATATCGCCACGGCCGCAATCTTTGCTCCAACTCTCCCCCAACGCCGCCGCTTCCTCACTAAGAGCAGCCTTCTCCTGGCCCCCTTTGGCTTCCCTGCGCCCCAGCGGGGGCTGTCGCTGCGCCAGCCTGCTCACGGGGGCGCGGGCTCCGCACCCCGCTTCCTGTTTCGCGCGCTCCCGGTTCCACGTTCAAGTTCAAGGGTGTCTGCAAGCAGCAGACCCACAGTCTTGACCGAGATGAACCAGCGCCCGCCTCCCGGTGACTGCGGGGTCCACAGGGCGTTGAGAGGTTTCTGCAGCGGTGCTGGGGTGCCCGCCGCGGGCCCATCTGCGAAGCGCCCCGGGGGGTGAGCTGCCTCCCCGACAGGGGCCGGTCGCCACTGCCCGGACCGCGCAGGCGCAGCAGCAGTCGGGGAGCGCGCCCGCGGCCTCGTGGAGCAGGTGGCGGAGCCCTGGGCCTCCCATCCCGAGGGCACGACCTGAGGGGCGGGTGCCCCCCAGCGGAGAGCCTCTCAGCTCGGCCTCGGGAGAACGGCGGGGTCGGCAGAGGCCACCGGCAAGAGCGGGCGAAGCCCTGGAAACTTCTCTCCATCCTTGGCGGGTCGGCGGGAACAGCCCAGGCCGCCCAGGATTAGCAGAGGGCAGGGCGGCCGCCTGCGTCCTGCTCCCCGGGGTGGCGGCGGGCGACGCGGGGCTCCTGCGCTCTGGCTGGAGAGCACCCCGCCGGCCGCGGGAGGGTTTGGGGAGAGAGCCCGGGGAGGCCTTGTGGTGGCCGACCCTGTCATCCAATTAGGAAAATATCTATGGCCTTAATTGGATAATTGGGCCATAATTATACAACAGTTACAGTTATATGTAAATTTTATTGGCTTAAAGATAGGAATCACCTTATGCAACTCTATTAGGATTATAAAGCTTTGATCCTGCAGAGGAAGGGCTGATTCACTGGTTCACCCCTAAGAATGACCCCCACGGTAGACATTTCTGGGGACTTTTGGGAAATGCACGTGTTCTAATTCCACCTTCACACTGAATATGTAGCTTGGCGTTCTGTCTATAAACTGTTGGCTGTTGGGCTAAATCACTTTTTCTTATGACATTCTCCTTAATATCAACCCCAATATTTCCACTATTGTGTTTGGAATGGGAATCCTAAGCATTTATTAGATTCAAGTATTACCTATATTTGGAGGTTTTTTGTTTTTGTTTTTTCTTTTTTTGGTTTTCAAAAACTACGTAAATACCTATTAATATATTTGGTTTCCTAACCTCCAAAGCCTTATCAATTTTATTTTGGCTAAGTGACATTGGAGAATTTAAGGTACACAAAGGAGAGTCCTTGTAGAAACCAGTGTGACCCTCCTCCAGGAGCCCTTTTCTCATGGAGTTTTAGGTTGTGCAGAGGAATTGGGCTAGACAGTGGCTTTTCTAAGAAGCCACGGGAAGATGTGGCATGCAAAATAGTGGTTTGTTGTAATTCAGCACCTCTGACAATCTGTTCCCCAGACTCATTTTTCTTGACATTAAACTGTAAGCACCAAGAACACATTTGAGTGTGGGAATTTCCTATTCCACTTTTTGAGTGGCAAATGAAAGGCCGCTGAGCCCTGGAAATCAATTGTTGTAAGCTTGATCCTGCCACCAGGTGGCAGTGTGGGCCTGCGTCTTGAGGCTTTCTGAACGCTGGAAACCCCACGTTGGTTTATAGTTTGGATTGATAAGTGAATTCCTTTCAAAAACCCACATCTCAAACAAAATCAAGCTATTATGTTTTTAATTCAAACTGTAATTACAGACTGAAGGAAGCTTTCGTTTTGATCTTACAGATAGATATAAAACTTCTCCCCCCTCTTTTAGAACATATCAGATAGTTGATGTAAAGTTTGTTTTTCCAATTTAAAATTGAGCTAATTATAGTGATAATGTGGGTAAACCCTCGTGGTATCTTTGATGAAAAGATACAATAGACTAATGCCTTTAATTTCATTACTAACTTTCATTTGTGTAGCTTATTTTGTTGCAACCATTACTTTTTTATAATGCCTTATAATTACATAAGGCATTATGTATTTATCTTTACCTGGTGCTTCCCTCAACTGGTGGATAACTTTGATTTAATGATTGAAATGGTTAAATTCTGGATTCTATATACACCCACCCACCACACACACACACACACACCCAGGTTGACATGCAAACCGCCTGTCTTGTCCACCCATTGCTAAGTGGAACCTCTGGTCCAGGGGAAAGCAAAGCTTGAATAGGGTTCAAAAATAACAATAATTTAAAAAGCAAAAAAAATATATTTTTTAATTGCTGAAGGTATTAATATGTAATTGTCTTTGAGTTCACTATTTTGGAATTGTGATGAGAATAGTATCATTAACTCTATTCCTTTTGAAACTCCATTTAGTGTTAGCCTTTCTCTGCTCTCAGGCACATTCCTTTCTCTGCTCTCATGGCACATTCCTCTGGTTTTGTGCACCCCTGTCTGGAGTGGATCTAACTTAACACGCACCATGCCTGTGCATTTAACATACCACCCAGCATAAGAGCTAAGGACTAAGAAGATAATTTTCTTTGACGAAACTCGTCATTCTTGAGTGTCTGAATTGCACCTGGTAAAACATCACCAGATCTGGGCCAGGTGGCAGGCATGGGGGTAGATGAAGGGGTGAGGGCATGGGTTGGAGCCGGCCCCAGACCCAGAGCTTGCCTGAGGGGGAGTCCCCCACAGACGGAATGAACTCTGTTAGCCTGCTCACGTCAGCTCGTGTAGTCCTCCCAACGGCCCGTCCTCCCTTTCACAGAGCTCGGAGTAGGTGCCCAGGTGTGGCTGGCAGAGCAGGGCCCACGGCCGGCCACATCTCCATCTCTGGAACCTGCGCACATGTAAGGTTCCCGGGCAAAGGAGGATTCAGGTTGCTAATCAGGTGACTTTAAAGTGGGGAGATCATCCAGGTAATCACAAGGGTCCTTATAGTTGGAAAAGGGAGACTCAGATGGTGGCATGAAAAGGCCTCAGCCAGATGCTGCTGGCTTTAAAGGTGGAGGAAGGGCCTTGAAAAACGGCTCATGAGCCAAGGAATGTGGTGGCCCCTAGACTCTGGAAAAGACAGAAAAATGGATTCTGCTCTAGAGCCTGCAAAGGTATGGCCCTGCTGACGCCCGGGTTCTAACCCAGTGAGGCCCACTTGGATTTCTGACTTGTGGGAGAACCAGTTTGTGTTGTTTTAAGGCGCTAAGTTTGTGGTGATTTGTTTCAGCAGCAAGAGGACAATGGTACACTGGTGTACCATACTGCAGGCTACGCATGTGCTGTGGGGTGATTCCAGATTGACATCATAGCTCAGATGACTGAGAAAATGTAACTTGTTTTATTGATAAAGTGGTATTTCTAACCTGCCAGGTAGAAGATGAGGGGAAGTTCGCTTGTAGTTCTGTTCAATTTGATATTTAGTCTTACTCTAATACTTAAAAAAATCCAGGTAATACTGTATTTTATATTTAATAATTGCTCATTCTTTTAATTTCCTCCTTAGCTGCCTGCTCTGTTGTGGAGGGGTTGGTGTGTCAGGTGATGCAGTGGCAGCGGGGTGAGGGGTGCCTGCCTCGAGCCGAGTTCTGGGCCTGCCCAGTGCCCGCGCGTGTGTGTGTGTGTGTGTGTGTGTGTGTGTGTGTGTGTGTGTGTGTGTTGGGGGCACAGAGGGCGGGGCGGCAGGGAGGGATTTTGCAGAGGGCGGGGCTGTGGTGGGTGTGGCATTGGGGAGTGGTTTTGCAGAGGGCGGGGCCGTGGTGGGTGTGGCATTGGGGAGTGGTTTTGCAGAGGGCGGGGCCGTGGTGGGTGTGGCATTGGGGAGTGGTTTTGCAGAGGGCGGGGCCGTGGTGGGTGTGGCATTGGGGAGTGGTTTTGCAGAGGGCGGGGCCGTGGTGTGTGTGGCATTGGGGAGTGGTTTTGCAGAGGGCGGGGCCGTGGTGGGTGGGGCTTTGGGGTGCGCTGGCGGCAGGTCTGCACCAACACGGGAGGGACCTTCGTTCCTGTGTCTCCACCTCGCTGGGGACTTCCCCTTCCAGGTTCCGTCCGCCCTCCACGGAGTCCCAGATCCCTGGCCCTGTGGCCCCTCTCTGCTCAGCCCTGCTTCCTGCTCAGGACTGTGGTCCAGCCCCCATCCTCCCCTTCATTCCCCAACTCCTGATCTAGTCTTAATGACCTTAAGGGAATGGTGTTGAAGTGAGGGCTCCGATTTTGGTTCTTTAAAAGCTAAAGAAATGACTGTCAGGTGCTCTGCAAAAAATAAATAAATAAATAAATACATAAATAAATAAAAGCTAAAGAAAATTGCAATACCCGTTTCAATATCTAAGCCTGTTTTTCAGTCCTCTTGTCCTGTGAAGGGGCTAAGTACCTTCTTTCTCTCTGTTGTCCCAGAGCCACAAATCTGGTGACCACAGGAGAACATCCTTTAAAAGGAGCTAGTGAAATGAACATTTTCCTGTTTGCCGTACATGTCCCCATAGCAGAAACTAAGTTGGGATTGGAGCCTGGGTCTCTGTCCTTAAAGCCCACCTTCCTCACACCCTGCAATGCCCAGGCAGGCTGCAGGTGGACAGAGGATGCTAATTCTCTGGTAAGGAAATCTGGTCCTATGGCCAGCGTGTAGGGGGAGAGGATGGTGTCTCCCTCTGGTAAGTAAAGGGACATCTTTGCCTGGCATGGTCTACCAGGAGGAAGGGCATACTGCTCTTCTCCAGAAGTGGCCCTTTCTGCAGGAAGCTGTCTGCATTGGGAGGGAGCAAACTCAGGGTGGGGTTGGAGAGTGCGCCCTGGGATGCCTGCTTCTTGTTAGGTTGTTCCTGCTGGGGAGTGGAGGTGGGTGGAGGACATTAGCATCAGTTTATCCTGAGGGTGAATAAATAAATACCTTTCCTCCACCTTCTGCACGGGAACAAATGATGCCTCAGGGAACTTTCAATTAAAACAATCTGGTTTTTAGTGTTTGGGGAATGGTTTTATGTTTATTCCTTCACATGCCATTTTCTAATCATGTTCTTTGATTCTAAGAGAACATTTTTTATTGACTATAAAAAATAAAGCAATCTTGTGGTGTCCAAACCATGTTCCACAAATTCAGCATAGAAGCATCTGGAAAGAGCAAACAAACCAAAAAACACCATACAGACTTTTAGAGAATAAAACGTAATTTTAAAGAAGACTTTTAGTGCTCAGCATAAAGGTATTTTGGAAGTCCAAGCAGGCATTACAATGAATTTGTACATACAAAGCTAAAATAATGAATCTCATGTGTCATTGGTCTGCCTAGAGCAGCAACACTCCTGCCTTACCACCCATTGTCCTGTCCTCTTTTGCTCTTCACTGACAGAACCCTGGCTGTGTTTGGGGTAGCGCTGTGCCCCACTAAAAAAACTACATTTCCTTCCCTCCTTTGTAGTTGGGTGGAGTTCATATGATTCTGTTCTGAACAATCAGAAGTAAGGAGTAGACTGCTGGAAATTTCTGGGAAGTTTTACTTTTCTATTTGAGCTTCACTACCTTCTCCTTGTGTTACTTCCCTTTTTCCCAGGTTGAAATGTGAATTTGATTGGCTTTACCTCTAGTAGCCCTCTTAAGACCATGAACTAAAGCCAAAGAGGATCACAGAACTCTTAGCCTTGACCCCC